ACACACAGTATTCATTTCATGATCAGAAATTTGTGAAAAGAAAACAGTGATCAGAAGTTCACTGTATCATGCGAATACACGACTCGAAGACCGTGAAAATAATAGTGATCTGAAACTCACTACATTACTTTTTATATTATTTATTTTAATCTATTTCTTGCAATTATTCGAATCTTGTAGATTTATTTTATTGCAATTTATATTTATTAGTATAAGTCGCAAAGTAATGCTGAAGATTGAGTCATAAAAAAAGAGGAGGCTCTATGTAGAACGAGGTTCCATGTAGAACGCGGGGCGAAGTTGAGCCATAAAAAAGAAAAAATTGAGGGCTAAATGCTCGCTATGGTGCTCTAATAGTTCATAGATAAATTGAGCCTCAAAAGCAAAGTCAAGGATTTGAAATGGCCGCTTTTAATTGTTTTAGGATGAAATTGAGACTAAAAGTAAATTTGAGGATGGAAGAGGCTATTTTGAAAGCTCGACCTAAACCGCAGGCAATAGTTGGAGGATCAAAATAACTTTTCTGACTATTTTCTCCGAGAAAGAGAACAAATGGAGGGGGCTCTTGCATCATGTAAAAGGTGCGCAATCGATAGGTCAGACTGCCCTGACAAAGTGGCCATTGACCAAACGATACTAGATAACGTGGCTTCATCAAATTGGGTTAGCTATTCAGATTATAAATAAAAGATACTGCTACGTACTCCTCCCATTCTAAATTATAAGTTATTTCAACTTTCTTGAAAAGTGAAAAATTCTCAAGTTTGACCAAAATCATAGAGAAAATTACGAAGATCAAGACTTAGCTGAAACCACAAGCAGTGCACTGCATCTCTTCAGAATGACGCTCCAGAACAGTAACAGCTCCTTGGCAATATAATGTATTTTTTATTTCAGTTTTTTTTCATGTGTAATTTAGGGATATACTGTGCCAAGATTTAATATAAGTCTTCCTTCCCTTAAAAAAAAAAGAAATAACTCTGTTTTGTTGATTTATGCTCGGTCAAGTTCCAAATCTGCAACGATATCCCTAAAGAGAGAAATCGACCGTGCAAGTGGAGAACCATGCCGTAACAGAATGCTCCTCCGACTCTCAGATCCAGTCTGCTCGACTCATGGAATCACGTCGGTCACCCGATCTGGGCAGCACAAAACTTCCTATCTGATCTGATACTCATGGAATCACGTCGGTCACCTGATGATTCTATACAAGTTCAGAGCACAAACCTAGAAATGAGTCTTAGGGATCAGCAACTACGCGGCGCCTAGGGTTACACATAATAATATACTATGAAAATTATGGATCTCATTAATGTGCAACAATCTTTCTGATGAGAAAAAGGTACCATGACGGTAAACAACATGAATCCATGTTAAAGGAAACAATACTCATTACCAGATAACAAGCTTCACCCACGGGGAAGCAAGGGGGTAAGGTCAAGCACCATGGATGGAAATTAAAATAGGTATTAACAAGGCCAAACACCCATAGCCTCAAAGTGAACGTGTCATGTGGGGCCTCTCCTATACACGCCGTAGACGCGCGAGGGACCAGAGGCGCGCAGCTGAGCGCGCGGCTATCAGGGCCACGCCCGATCTTCTGGAGGAAGGAAAGGGAAATAGTGGCTAAGATAGGAAATAGAATTAGTTGAGATATTAGAGGAGATCCTTAATTATAGGAGATAGTTTCCTTAATTAGTTGCAAAACAGGCTATTAAGCCTTGTATCCGGCTGTAGCCGAGGAATCAATCAAGAATTCTACCGTGAACTTTCTCTCCTCTCCCTACCGCACTCAAGCCTTCGGAAGAGGGGCAAAACCTCACCGGAGAAGACGGACCAAGGCTACGATCTACGTAGCCGAGGGCCTCCTACCCTCGATACTCAGGCCCTTGACAGAACGACCAGCATTAGATTATCAGGGTAGTTAGCACATTCTGCGGTAGTTTTAAACCTTGCGCATGAGTAGAAAAAGCCTCTGATCCAGCTCAAAGCTAGCAGCAGTGGAAGGGTCACCCCTGAGCAGCATCAGGAGACCACTGAATGATGCATAAATCTCCCTGAAAGTAAAAGGAAAAGTACGGCGTGAGAAAACACAGCTACTTTGGAAAGAACTACTGCCTACGCAAAATAAGATTCGACTCTATGATAATATGAAGGTTTAAACTTTAAACAAATCAAATGAAGCCGTTTAAGTTTTTTTTTTTAAAAAAAGTAATCAACTGAAACCATTTTATTCTTACTTATCAACATAAGACATTGAAGTGACCTTGAAGGAATTTTCTATATCTATACGCAAATAATGCTATTATCAGATGAAAAGAATGTGAAGATAAACCATGATTAATGGGATATTCAAATCTATTCAAATCAAGCTCTTTTGATGTTCAAAAGTACTTTCAGAATTGCCTTAGCAGAATCAAATTCTATCACGAGCATGATTCATCATATGGGCGTCATCAGGATATATGGGTACATTTCCTTTAGAACCATGAATAACATTAATTCTATAGTTGATGTGTTCACTTTGACAAGGTCAAACAATGTAGAAATCCTTTTATTCTTAATTCATAAGTCAATAGTCGATTCGTGAGCTGTCATATGTACTGGAACAGCTCAACAATAGGATAAAAATCTTAATACACAATACGTAGTAGCACCACAACAAGTGAATCGAATACTCCCATAGTTTCATGATAACGGAATAAGTTCTAGACTCTAGTGCATAAAAAGTGCAAATTGCTACGCTGTTCGATAGCTTTCAGTTCAGGGAAAAGCGGAAAACCATACACTTTAGCATTTTGGCTGGAGGTGTCCTCTGAGATTTTGTAAAGCTTCCCTTGCTGACATATTCATAATTATCTGCCAGAGTTTTTCTACCAGCCTGAAAATTAGATACTTTATGTTAAATAGGTCTTATATACATGCTTCATCACATTGGTGATATCATATTGAAGATATCATATGAACCCAAGACACTGTTACCTGGATGCTGTATTCCATCAGTGAATATCATTAAAATTCAAGTTGTATGATGCAAATTCAACAAAATGGATAAGTTAATCACCTGTGTGTAGTAGCCAGTATCTGGAGTGCCATCCAAATTCAGAGTAGGCGCTAAAACCATGTTAAATTTCTCACCAGCACACACAGGATACACATCTGTAGCAACATCCAGCTGCATATACATATCTAACTGCTCGCTGCGAGCTTCAACACGAGAAACTGTACGTGCGCAAGGGAATAACAGAACATGAGGTCATACTAGAACAAGGCTGGCAAGTGGCAACTGAGTAACACAGTATACAGTGAATATTGATACTTCGCCCTATTCGCTTGGCTTATAAGCCGTACCTTTTCAGGCAACGAACAATATTTTTTCTCTCACAACAAATCAGCCAACAGTACTTTCAGCCGTGGCTTATCAGCCAAGCGAACAGGGCAACTACCTATATAAAGTTAGAAAGAAACAGCGTATTAGAAAGTAGTGTGTGGATAGATGAGTAACAAAGTATACAGTGGAATATGTCAAGATAAGAACCTTCAGATAATTGTTAATAATTGCATGCAAATTGTTTCAATATACAGGGTGCAACTTTAGATTTTAATTGTAATGCCCTATGAGAACAAGTACTAGAGATAGCAGACCGCTCGAGATTTTCAGCATATAAAATTAATATGAAGGCATGTTGTTTCAGCCAAGTGAAGAAAAGGAAACTATAATCATTATCCCACAAAAAGGAATGTATTTACCAGTTATAATTAGATTAGACGAAGGCTCTTAAAATCTAACAGCATGAGCATGGATTGGCAGCTCCAATTACACAACAAGCACATGGCACAGCGAAATATCATGAGAACAGCTTATAGGTATCAAAGGAAATGACCCACTCTCAGATTTTTAACGCAACTCCATTGCTAATCGCTTATCTGCTTTAGATGGTACCACAATTAATTCTATCAAATAGTGAAATCGTACTAAACCATGAGAACAGCTAACAGTGCCATGAACATCAAAATGGTGAAATCGTAATAAACCATGAGCAACACTGATATGAGCAAGGCAAACTGAACAAAGAAAACATCAGTTCTAATTGTCATTACACTATTATTGTTACTACAGTCCTCGCAGTCAGAAATTACCTTTGTCATTCGTGACGTAGATCGTAAAAAGAAGTGAGAAACAAATAGAGAAAGAAATTACCTTTGTCAAACTTTTTGCCATCAGGATCTAGCCTGGTAACGATGAAGGTGTCCTCGAAGAGATGCTCAGACATCTTTCCTGTAAAAAAGAGGAGCGCCTACATAAACCCTCCTCAGCTATCTCTAGAGTAAACCAGCTACCAAAATCACGCAAGTAATAAGACGGAAAAGCAAACTCTGAGATACTAATCACGCATCATCGAAACTTCAACCGAAACAGTGCCCACACCAACAAAAGCAGACGACCTTGAATCTGTTCCCAGGCTACCACACACAGTGACAACCCGCGCTCTCAACTGAAAGCAACGAAGGCCGGAGGGGGCGGCCTTGGATAGGGGCAGGCGCCGGCGGCGAACACACGGACTGGGGACGGGGGAGAAGGCGCCGGCGGCGAACACACGGATTGCAGGAATCTTTCTGTTCCCTCCTCCATGGCTGATGGTTCTCACCAAAAGCAGACAGAATGAGAGGCCCAGCCCAGGAAATTTCGGCCCGTCGAAGCGGCCCATCGCCGATGCCCCTCCTCACCTCCTTCGCCCTGCCGGCGGAGCCACAGCCACCGCCGGCTTCTCGCCTTCTCGCCTTCTCCCTCCGACCCGGCGACCCTCCTCACTCCTCGATCCCACCACACGTGCCCCCGCCCTGTCCAGCCGTCCTTCCCATCCAACTAAACCAAACCCTAGCCACCGCCGCGTCTCCCTCCAGCCGGTCGACATGGGAGGCGCATGGATGGTATGAGGGCGGTTCCCTCTCCTTCCGGTTCCAATCTCCCAACTTTCTTCCGTTGGTGCCTCGGCGGCATGGCCGTCTTTGCCTCCGGCTCAGGCTCCGCCTCCGCTCGGGACGCGGATGCCGGTGCGAGAGTATTAGAAATCAGGAAGGAGTTGGAGGCGGACTGCGGCCATCTCTCCGCCTCGCAGGCGGACCTCCTCGCCCGCGCCCACTTCCTCGGCGGCGGCGAGGAGGAGGAGGAGGCCGAGGTGTTCAGCACGCCGCCTCTCACACAGCAGGACCCGCAGAGGCAGGGCCAAAGCCAGCGAGGTCAGGCGGGGGAGGGGGAGGACGGCATCGCCATGTGCTCCATGCCCTTCACCCAGACCCAGCCTTCCTCCCCTTCTTCCGCTTCCTCCTCTTCCTCGGATAGCCTGGAGCGGAAGCGGCGGAAGCCGCGGAAGCCTAGGATCTGCACGAGGAAGGTGAGAGCCGGCGCCAAGATCTGGACTCCGACTGCGACTCCGACTCCGACTCCGAGCCCCAGCCCCGAACTCGACCCTCTCGTCAGGAGCGTGCTCATGGTCCCCACCGCTCCTCTTCCAACCACCGGTCATAAGGATATCCTCGAGCTTGCTCGCAGCCGCGGCATCTTCTGAGTTGCCTATGTCACGGTGAGTAAGTAGCCCCTTCTGTTCTGCCAATCAATCAATCCATCCATTTCATATGCTAGTATTATGTGATTGGTTTTTATGCATTGTCCAGCAACTATATGACTATCTTTTTCGGTTAATGTTGCAAGTCATTGTATTTTGAGCATGTGGAAGTTACTATACCTTGTTTGATTGGCACAAGAAAACTAGCTAGCCATGACTATTTCATCATTCACTCTTTCCACTGAAGCAATGTGAGATTAGCGGTAGAGTAACCTGTAATATTAGTGTTTTGCGTTTTGGAATTCAGATGATACATACATTTGTTTCTGGTTTGCCCACTTGCCCCCAAACCCACAAGTCTATAACAAGTACCAATACTAGAAAGCTAGGCGTGGCCTTGCTGCGCCCCAGCCTCATAGCAGGGCCAGTGCGCCTGTAATTGTGTATGGGCGGGAAAGATATTGCGAGTCCAATCGGTGGAGGAGGTAATATCTTCTCTGCGCCATGCAAATCTGTTGCCTTACATTTTTTTCCCTGTATCGCCTCTGCTATTGTCACTGTTCTACTCCAGCGCTGTTAGTTGTCGTGGTTCTGGCCCTTGCGCCCTTGCACCACCGATCTCTCTGATGTGCACCTTGTCTCAGAATGATGCGAGGGTAACAGCCAGTCCTATGTTGAACCTGAATGTAAGAAGTAAGCCAGCAGCAGTAGGTGTCCGCTTCACATTTTTTTCTCTCAGATTCCCCTCTGTTTTTATATGAAATCAGAAAAGAGCAACTAATAGTCCTGTTTTTTTTTATCAATTTTGGGCATGGATCTTTTTTATATCAATTTTGGGCATGTATAAAGTACAGTCTACTGCATGCAAAACATATATACGCGGTTGTTTTGGCAGCGGTTTGCTAGTCTCTCTGGAAAGCATCTGTTTGCTTTGAAAAAAAAAACGGGTGATGTCTCCTGCTGAGAGTGTATGCATGATGTGTTCTTTTCTCTCATATTTGGCAGGGCTCCAAAACAAGGACCTCATACCACAAGTGGAGCAAGGTGTGGAAATCTTGAAGACCAATGCTCTCCATTCCCATTAACAAGCGCAAGCAAGCAAGATCTAGGACAAAGGCCCTTTGTTCAAGCTGGGTTCCGAAGTGTCTGAGAATAGCCTGAGTGCTGTAATCTGCTTTGCTTTTGTAGTGTCTGCGCTTGTTAATGCTGGTGCTATGTAAGCTGAATGGTATGTTAGTTATTTTGGTCACCTTGCTCTTGATCCCTGGGTGATTGGAGTAATGGCTGTAAACTCTGTAATTTCGTTGCTTCCAAGTAATGAAATCTGGGTTTCCCTGTGGTGGACAAAACACTGTATTCTTTTTTGAAGATTTAACTTAGATGAGTAGGCTCTTTCCGCTCGATTAAATTGTCCAATACACTGTTGAACCCTCCTTAGGCCCCGTTTAGTTCCAAGCCAAAAACCAAAAATTTTCAAGATTCTCCGTCACATCAAATCTTGCGGTACATGCATGGAGTACTAAATATAGATGAAAAAAAAACTAATTACACAGTTAGCCGAGAAATCGTGAGACGAATCTTTTAAACCTAAATAGTCCATAATTGGACAATTTTTGCCAAATAAAAACGAAAGTGCTACAGTAGCCAAAAATTTTCGGAACTAAACGGGACCTTAATTTTCCCTGTCCTCATGATCAAGAAAAAGTTTTCTGATGATCGAATTTGTGTCTGGCCCTTCCAGATCTTGATAAGCAGCAGGCAGACAGACGAGTGGAGTAGTGCATTACTGCATCGAACTGTGCCAGTGTTTTTCGGCTAAAACATGTTGATTAGTTGATACAAGATATTGCTACTGGTGCAAACAAGCTAATGAGACATACTCCAAAATAGTACTTGACAAGTCTAGTCAACAACAACAACGAAACGTTTAAGTCCCAAATAAATTGGGGTAGGCTAGAGTTGAAACCCAGCAAAAGCAATCAAGGTTTAGGCGCGTGAATAGCTGTTTTTCAAACACTCCTATCTAAGGCTAAGTCTTTGGGTGTATTCCATTCTTTCAAGTCTCCTTTTATTGCCTCTACTCAAGTCAACTTCGGTCTTCCTCTGGCTCTCTTCGCGTTACTATCCTGACTTAGGATTCCACTACGCACCGGTGCCTCTGGAGGTCTCTGTTGGACATGTCCAAACTATCTCAACCGGTGTTCGACAAGTTTTTATTCAATTATTGCTACCCCTAATCTATCACGTATATCATCGTTCCGAACTCGATCCCTTCTTGTATGACCGTAAATCCAACGCAACATACGTATTTCCACGACACTTATCTGTTGAACATGTTGTCTTTTCGTAAGCCAACATTTTGCACCATACAACATAGCAGGTCTAATCGCCATGCTATAAAACTTGCCTTTTAGCTTCTGTGGTACCCTTTTGTCACATAGAACACCAGATGCTTAGTGCCACTCCATCCACCCTGCTTTGATTTTATGGCAAACATCTTCATCAATATCTCCGTCTCTCTATAGCATTGATTCTAAATATCGAAATGTATCCTTCCTAGGCACTACTTGACCTTCCAAACTAATATCTTCCTCCTTCCGAGTAGTAGTGCCGAAGTCCGGCTTTCATCAACTAGCACTAAAATGGTATACTATGTCTTTTTCAGCAAAAAGTGTAAGGACTGTTTCCTTAGAGGATAGTAACTCAAATGGTAGCTCTTCAGTTTGCGATAAAAGGTTCCTGAAATAAGAAGAGAAAAAAACAAAGACCGTCACAAACAGATTCTTAGGTTACAAATATAAGAAGAATTGTAGCCTTTGCTACCACTGCATTCTAAATCATACTCTTCTATAGTATAATGTCTACAGATGTTAAAGATAATAGCATTGTGTGCTGAAAATTTCGATTATATCTAAATGGTGATCTTGCGTGAACCTTAAAAAGACCAAATTGGTGATACAAAGAACCAAGACATATTATAGAAATTTATATTAGCAAGCTAGGATCAGGGAACATCAGCGTCACAGTACTAGGATCAGAGGCATCAAATGTTCTCTGAATGACTGAATTGAAATTTAAGTGAACTACTACAGATAGCAAGATTCTGACATTTAGCTTAAACGCCAAGGGATCACTGAATTTGTTCATCCTGTAACTTATCAGGGGCATGAGCAGGTGTTAGTAATATCAGTTCATTGGTAAGGAAGTTAAAGATACTGATAACCAGGATTGGTTGCCATCATCCAAAATGAATTTGCAGGTGGCCACTAGATTCTTATTACGTTCTTTCAAATAGCTGCCTTTGGAGCTTATATAGGCACATTATGTAAGTACCTGCCACCATTAAATGAGTAGGACTCCACGGAGTAGCATGGGTGGGTTCGTTTAACTGAATTACCGAGCAGACATCCGATGTTTACATATCCGGTTATTATAACTATTGTTCACTCAGTGACTCAACGATCACGGTTAAATCACAGAAAGCCAGCGGTAAACTAATACTGCGCCATTTTCATTTCATAAATCTTATATTTATAGGATAGGATGTACACGTTTGACCACATAGGAGCAAAGCAACAACATGAAAAGATATGCAAAAGGTTAATTATATAGTGCCTGTCCACGATCCATTGCCAGCTGGGCACTTCACACATGAAGCGCCGCTACTCTGGCCGGCCTCTAGTGTTGAAGATCACTTCGGTTTCATCTCCTCGATGGAACGATCATTATTATATTGCCATCCATCCATGTACAGGCTGGTAGCAGCCTGGGGAAAAGGTTAATTATATTTGCAAACAAACCCAGGGAAACCAGTGTTCTTCATTGACTATCTTTGTTGGGAAATTATTGAATAGGCTTCTAGCTAGGACATGCCGGCCGCCTCGCAAACTTTAATTATAGTCCCCATAGATAGATTTCCTGTATTTTCTCACTTCCAGCTTCACCAACCGAATCAGCTTGAGAGCATAATTCAGAACTCTACGTCAGATGTAGCCGTCCGAGCACCAAGCTTGCACTTAATCTTATCTTATAGAGTTATTAGTCTTCTCGAGTATCCCTTGCTTCGTATTATATTGTGGCGAAGGAAACCATGTGGTCAACAAGTGAGTAACGAAAGCAAATGCAAGTCGTGCCAATTAAATACAGTGTATATTCATCAATTAGAAAGCCCCAAATCCGAAATTAGGACCCGCCGGATACGTTCGGATGAGTCGCCTAGCTCAGTTGGTTCCTTCCTAGGGATGAGTTATAATGCAAACAATGGATATTTCGGCTCATTATAACATGTATATATACATATATATACTTGATTTTTTTTTCTAACAAAAGTTGTGTATTCCGAGGAATACATTGGCATCAACGTGGCTCCGTCTCTGTGGGTGTCTGATGGTACATGCATTTTATCACCGGCAAAAACAAACTAGGGGTGTTAGGTTGCTAGGCACACTTCATTACGCTTCATCTTAGTCGAAGTATGGCAAGAACCCGTTATGTCCAGGTTTCCACGCTTGCACGCAGTGTCCACATTAGTCCGACAGTCCGAGTAGTGGTTTTGGATTGGGCCAGCGCTACTTGCAGGAGGTGCAGTTGCTTCACCTGACGAAAGGGAGAAGCTACTGGCGATGCACGTATTGGGAGCCAAAAGCTGGAGGTTTATCACGCGTTTTATCGAGGCCGCAGAGCAACATCATAGCTCCTATAGAGAGATGATGAAAGCAACATTTTATTGGGAGCTCGAGAAGGAATGGTGGGACAAGCACTTAGGATGTGATTGTTACATGTATCTCCGCTGTCAGACTCACTATATGCAAGTTCTATTTGTTTGGTTGTATGGCCGAGCACTCTATCCAGGTTCCAATTTTGCAACCATACAACTCGAGCTAGGCTCATTGGGAACACAGGAGATTCCCGTTTCACATGGGCCAAGCTCACTGTAGATGCAATCATATGCATGCACAGAGTCAATACGCATGCAAGTCTATCTATTTTGCACCGGCTAACAA